CTACAAGTGTGCTCACCCAAACATGGACTGCACATTCTTCAGGCACAGGGGGCCATCAATGGTGAAAATCTGCCCTTCCCCATTGTTTAAATCAATGAGCCGTTCCAGGCAGTCTAAGGAATCTGTGCTTTGAAGCTGCAGAAAAAGAAAGGGAAATATTTTTGTTGAGTGTTCTTTTTATTCTCTTTTGTACTAACCAGTATTTTTAAAGAAAATATACACAACACAGCAGAAGCACCTGATTGGATGCTCCCATGATTTTTTTGTTCTCTTTCTTCTTTCCAAATAAACCAACATTCTTTGTCTCCCAGACAATGTTCTCTTATTACTTATCAGAAATAGATTATTTATTTTAAATATCTATTTTAAATATTTTCTCAGTTATTTTGAGATGTTAACAGTGCTTCAATCCACCAGCTTAATCAAAAGCATCATCCTTGACAGAGACCATGAAGCTGAGATATGTAATTGATGCCTAAGCAGAAAACCCTTCTGTGAAGGGTTTCACAAGAATACAGGTGTCAAATCAAAAGCAATGCTATTAATAAAACTTAATCTAACAAATATTAGTCAAATAGGCTTCTTTTTAAACAAATGTTTATGCAGCAGAATTCTAACTCCTGTGAAGATTTTTAAAGCTGGGATTGAAATTTGCAAGAGAAGGAGAAAGGAGGAAGAAGATTGACACCTTTCCTTCAAAACTAAGGAAAGGTGTTTTGAACACTGGCTTGGAGACTTCAGTTTTCCCCTCTCACATTTCTACATACAGCTACTGTGTCTTAAGTGTTAAGCATCTTTGCAACACAAGTCATTTATTCAAGAACTTAACTGTAGATTAAGAAGAGCCCCAAAAGCCTTCAACATAATTAATGCAGTAGTAATATAAACAGAGACATTAAAATTCCATAATATTCCCCAGGGACAAACTGACATGATTTATAAAGATTCTGGTAATAATGCAGTAGCAGCAGATAATAACAGTGCAATAATAAACCTTAAATTCTCTTTCACCCAATAACAAAGCACCAGAACGCCAACTAAACCTTAAGCACAAGAACATCAACGCAATGTTTTGTGGCCGTCAGTTCAGAGAAGACCAACAATTACCCAACGCAACAAAGAATAAGACATCACCTCTTCCAGGTTGGCCATGCACATGACGTAGAGCTTGGACGGGAACGGGAAGGGCAGCGGGAACCTGTTGCTGTCGCTGCGCTGGCTGTGGGTGGCCAGGGAGTGGCGCAGGGAGCCCCTGCCGATGCCCAGGCAGCCGTCGGTGACCAGGACAACCTGCAGGGACAAGTGAGACACTGCCAGCTGCACCTCAACACCCACACGCTGCGGGAGCCTTCCCGCCGCAAGGGCTCCCAGCGGGTTTCCTCCACCGAGCTGGGCAAAGAACTGCTGGCAGAATTTCCAGAAAGAACCCCAAATCATGGGGAAATTGAAGATTGAACCCTCGTGGTTTACACGGTGTGCATGGTAAAGAAATGTTTTCTTGGCATTAGGTAATTGCACCAAAATTTGAATCTCGTACATTTAAGTGTGCACTAGGAGCACAGTGACTACACAGCTCTTGATGTTGGATTCAAGGATCCCAGGTTTATTTTCAGATGGATGATAAAGCCCATTTCTTCTGCAGAATCTGGGGAGCAACTCAACTTACACTACAAGCCACAGAGAAACCTCAAAAAAGGGTAAAATTAGTCATCTTAATTCTTTGCAAATACAGCTGCATTATGCTCACGTTTTGCAGCAGAACTCCTATAGCAAAACCTCACACTTTTCCATTCAATTGCACATCCAGAGTCAATCCCTGTGGAAACCTGCACTAATTACACTGAATAATGGGAATATTTACACTCAGCTGTGACCCAGTCACTTCCAGAGGAGTAAAAGAACTGCTCCTTCAATGCTGCATGGCAACAGCAGGCATGATTTCTGGCTGCTAGGTAAGGAAAATCAAATCCAGCTGAAACTCCACGTGTAATTGCTACATCAGATTTGTATTCTCCCTTCATCCTCGGTCTCTCTCCTCAGAACTGGTGCTCTCCAGTGATGTTTTCCACTGCTCCAAGGCTGCACAGTACATTCCTCAGTGCCCTCCACCACCCCAGCACCTGAGGTGCCAGTTAAATTAGTTAGGACACAAATGAGAGACAAAATAGTTGAGGTCTAATCTCTGCTTGGTTTTCACACCTTTTTTGCTGTTTGCTTTGAATATTTTTTGCTGCCTCAAGGTGCCTTTTGTCAGTGTTGGATGATGAAGCCTAACCAATAAACCTCTATCCTTCTTGTCCTTAAGGAATATTGCTTCAGGCATCTTCCCAGCTCACTGAGCTGCAAAATTGCTGAACTTAAATCAAGACCCTCAGAAAACCAAGGGTTAAAGCAAACTCTGCCAGAAGAGGCAGCAGATTTGGAAGGATGAGAGCTTGCAGGGCTGAATGGGTATGTGAGCAGCTGCATGGCAAATGACTCATTTGGGAGAGTCAGATCAAAACACGCTCAGCAGCAGCCCCACGCTGTTGGTTGAGAGCTGGGGTTGTCACAAGCCCTGGAAACCATCAAGGACTGGAGGGGAGAGGCTCTGGGAGGGACTACACCCCTTCCAAACAGAGTGAGGCTCCTGGGACAGCAGACTGCATCCAGATCAAACACCAGGCCTGCACAACAGTGCTCCTGAGCCACATTTTACAATCCACTCCACTACAAGAACACACTGGGCAGGAAACGGTCTTTTTTTTTGCTGCTGAATATTTTTATAAAAATCACCTTCTGTTCACGTTGCAGATTTAGCCAAAATACTAACTCTTTGTGGTTTTGCATGAAGCATGCCTGAGAGCATTCCAAACTTTCAAATGACATTTACATTTCTATGTGCAACTCACAGGAACAGAATCAATCACAGACTCACAGGGTGGTTTGGGTTGGAAGGGGTCTTAAACATCACCAAGTTCCAATCTCCCTGCCAGGGATAACTAAACATGCAGTGAACTTAAACCAGTGCAACCAGCCATACCTGGCAAGGAATTGCTGCCCCCCATTCCTGCTGGACAATGTTGCAAACCCCCAGCAGCGCCGACTCCAAACAGGTTTTGTCATAATCATCCATGTTACTGAGGGCTTCCTGCAAAGACAAACACCCAGTCACTGCTGGGGGAGTATCCCAGCCAGGAGACACCCAGCAGTCACTCCTGGAATATTATCAACACAGCTCTTTAAGAGTGAAAAAACACCTCTGCATGTCTTAAAAAAAATAAAAACCTGAGGCAACATCTAACAAGAAATACTTAGCTGAGAAAATCATCACAGGTGTCAGAGCAGAGACCACAAGGAGTTTATTTCACAAAAACTCTTTGGCAGAGAGAGAGAAACAAACCCAGAAGTCACATCTGCATCCATAAACCAGCTTTTGTCCTAGAAGTGAAAACCTCACACTTAACACAGCATCACCAGGGTGCAGCTGTGAGGTGAACTTGCTAAAGAAGCCTGGCTGGGCTCCTGGCTTGCAAAATTCCTCAAATGAACTCTTAGGGAAGTGAGAATTAATCAGAGAGGATGCACTGGCACCCACCTGCAAAACTGCAAACATAACAGAGAACAGCTTTTAAAATCTCTTTGCTCAATGGACAAACCCAAAGCATGGTGCCCTGTGACAGCAATGTGTCATCTCCTCCTGCCTGTGAGGGTCAGATATAAATGTACAACTTTTACTGGATTCAGAGGCTCCAGTGCCTTACTGCACTCATGGGAAATTTCCCTCTTGGACTTTCTCATTTCCACTTCCTTCTCCCAACTTCCCACCACATCTGTGAGGCCTAAAATCACTTATTCTCACTCTTGCACTGTTTTGACTTCCACACACTCTCAACAGCAGCTTCTCTGTTCCAAACCACTCGACTCAAAGCCTTTCTAAATGGTCCTGTCAGCTGCATTGTTTATCAAGAGCAAACCAACAAGTACACATAAAAACAGGGACATCTCAGACCCACTTGGGGAGCTTCATCAGGCAGCCCTTCCCTCCATCCCGCTTTTAACTCCATCCCATTTTAGAGTCAATCAGCCACACCCCAGTGCAAAGGTGCAACTGGCAAATTCACTGTTTCAAACACACTGATTTCACCTGCCCTTAAAATAAGGACAAACCCACTCAATTCAAGACGTGTGCACAGGACGATACCAAATCACACAACTTCACGCTGCTTTGGTGGCACAGTTGGCTGATTTTTTAAAAAATGCTGCCGGTTTACTGCTTTAGCGTTCACACCCCCTACCTGGAGCGTGTTGTAGTCTCTAGTGAAAGGCACCATGAGCTCCCAGAGGGATGAAAACACCACCAAGGCCGTGAACTCCAGCTTGTAGTTGGTGGCCATGTGCTCGAAGAGCATGGTGAGCCCGTGGGCAGCCAGGTGCTTGCGCTGGTACTCCTCGGAGCCCTCCACCGACACCGGCCGCGTCATGGACAGCGACACGTCCATCACCACCACCGTGGGCATGGCGAGCTGCTCCTCCGCCGCCCTCACGGCCGGGCTCAGCTGCCTGCGGCGGGAGGGAAGGCACAAATCATCACCGAACCCGCACCCGGCGAGCCACGCGCCTCGCCCCCTCACGCCGACCCCGCGGAGAAGCGATAATTACCCTTTTTCCCCCCCAAAACGAGGGGCTGAGCACAGATTAGGTGAATACACGCTGAACCCCACACGGCATTTCCAGCCGGGCGCAGCGCAAGGCCTGGAGACGGCAGGAGCTGAGCCTCGCTGGGGAAAGCGCGCAGCCCTGCCGCTCCGAGGGCGGTCGGGCAGGGATCCAGCCCTCCCTACAAGGCTTCGCCCTCAGCGGGGCTGTCCCCGGAGCGCTCCCGGGCCGGCCGGGCCGAGCGGCGGCGGCGGCGGGCACGGAGCGGGGCGGCGGAAGAGAAACGCTGCTGCACACCGCGGCCCGCCGCGCCGCCATGCGTGCGGCACGGAAAGCGTTCCCCCGGCAGGGGCGGCCCGGGCGGGAAGGGCCGCACCTGACGCGGCCCGTGAGGGCTGACCCCGCACGGGAAGCGCGAATTTGGGATGGCCGTGCTGGTGGTGCCCACGTAAAATAGCAGCACAAATGACTGCGATGTGTGGAGAAGGGTTTGTGGGTAAGCGTGCCGGATGGGCAGTGCACGTCCTTCTCCCGCTTCTGTACTTGTGGGAGTGGAGAAGGCTGGAGACAGTAAACTGCAGTGCAAAACCGGGATGTACTCCTGAGGTTGTGTGTTCAGACAACAGTTTGCTTTAAAATGATCAGAGAGCCACAGGATAGTTTAGCTGGAAAAGCCCTCTAAGATCATCAAGTCCCATTATTGCCCCAGCACTGGCAAGGCCACAGGTGCCACATCCACCCAGCTTTAAATCCCTGCAGGGATGGGGGCTCCGCCACTGCCCAGGCAGCCGCTCCAATGCTGGACAAGCCTTTCAGAGAGACATTTTCCCAATAGACGTGCTCCAGCACCTCGATGTCCTTCTCACCACGAGGGACTCAAAATCAAATCATACATTTCTAATTCCCCTGCAATAAATCTGGCTGTTGGATTGCTGTGGCTGTTAAATCCTTGGCCAGGGATGTTGTTATTTCTTCCCCTGTGGAGCTGCACTGTATCAGTGCCACAGAAGAGTCATGGGCACCATCCCCAGGTCCCTGCTCCCTCCCTTTTCCTCAGTGCTCCTGGCACAGGCCCTGAGGGATTTTTCCAGGAATCAACGGGTTTGAAACCTCCCTCTGGCATTGCAAAGTGGTCACATACTGTGACAAAGACCAGCAGAGCTGCTTGTCTGGCATCTGGCCTGTCAGCCATAGGAGATGCCTCAAATGCAGCTCCATGTTCCGTGTTTAAAAGTGTTTATAAATGTGATTTACCCGCTGCCAGGGCTGTGAGGGTGATCCGTGTCCATGGCTGGTGCTTCAGTGCAGGAGTTTGTGAAGGGGATAATCACTGTCCTCACACTGAGAATAACCTGTGGTAGCAGACAAAGGCATTGGCTTCAGAGATAGACCCAAATCTATACAATACTATTTAATCTGCTTACAGGCTGTGGGTATTAAACTGGATTGGGAATTCCTCCACTAACATGTCCTTCACACCTGACCCTCTCTTGTTCCAGGACTCTGCCAGCAGAGGGGACATCCTGAAAATGGGATCATTTTCACCTGACTCTCTCTGCAACAGCATCTCCCATCTGGCTGTCAAGTACCAAAGAAGCTTCCAGCACTACACGCAGCCCCTGGAACTCCCCTTCCTCCTGGGCAGACCTTTGGAAGGTAGGCTGGGGAGGTTTGTGTGATTGCTTGGATTTCGTGTTACTGAGACAGGAGGTGAGAAAAGGAGTTCATCAGGAACTGACCTAAACTTAACGAAACAATTCTTCTGCATTCTTCTGGTCAGGAGTTGTGAAAGGCTGCAGAGCTCTTAGAACTCATCCTAGCTTTGGATTTCTTTCTGCTCACAAAGCGTCTTTTAAGCAGCTCATTTTGGAGAGAAGTAAAATCAGTATTTAAATGGGAGTGTGTGCATGACTGTGTTCTCTCTGTGCCATCCTTTTAACTCGCCTGTCTTTATTAGGGAAAGTTATTTTCTCTTAACGTGCAATTTGTTATACCTCTTGTGCTGTTCTGCCACATGTATTTTTTTGGGGTTTTTTATGTACGAAAAGCAAAGCTTGTATCATCTATTTATCTAGGCACTCCCATGACCCTCTCTTACTGTTGCCTTAGTGATCCTCCCAACTATTTAAATTAACATTGCCTGTTTTGCAAGAAATTTAGGCTGATTACTTCTCTGGGTGTTATGCAAGAGGGTAAATGTGTGATAACTTGCATGAAGAGCTTATCTGAGAATGGTTTAGAAAACTATGATTCACAGCTAAAGAATAATTCACAGCTAAAGAATAATGTAACATGCCCACTCTGGGGAAAAAAATAATCCATGAAGAGTGTCATTCTAAGGTAAAACATTCAAGCAGTGCAGAAGAGTGAATTCTGTCCAGCCCCAAATCCCTGTCCCTGTGCTGTCACAGCTGCAGGCACTGTCACTCTGGCATTTACAATGTCTCTCCCTTTCTAAATGCTGTTCACATTATGCAAGATATGCTAATGACCCCCTAATAAAAGGTATGATTACAATTCCAATTTGCCAGTTCTGATTTCTACAGAAAGCCCTGAAAAGATGTAGTCATAGAAACAAATGGCTGCTCAGCACCCCCAGTTGTACTAGAACCACGTTCTCCTCACCCTCTGCTGAAACTGAAGGAAAAACCTCACCCTTCCTTGGATGGTTTCCTGGGGAGTGAAAGGCTGGAAAGCCGTGGAGCAGCATCACATCTAAACCACTTTCCATCCTCCTGAGGTTATTTTGGTGAATAACTGGTTTAGGAGGGAGGTCTGAACAGCTTGGTCTCGTCTTCAGAGCATCATTTTTAGCAATTTACAGTTGGTTCCTTGACAGAAGCCGTATCCACTCCTCCTGCACAACACTGACCCAATTGATAGTGTTACAGAATAACAACTGGACTCTGATCAATGCAGTCCTTAACAGCTCCTGGATATGGGCATTTGGTGGAACCAGAATTCAGCTTGGATTGGACTGCCTCAGCCAACTCCATTCTCTTAAGCCAAACCTTTGATTATTAATCAGCATAGCCTACAGTCATATTAAAAAAATAGGCTGAAACCTGGATCTAGATCTCTCTTTACTCATTTAAGTCCATTTCTTTTTATTGAAAAATAGACAAGCAGTCAGTGAAGTGTTGCTGCCCAAATGGTGGAAAGTTGCAGTACTTTGTTTTTCACACCAAATTCAAATTTTCTTTTGCAGGATTCCCCATTTTGTGCCGTGCAGTTCCACTCCTGATGCTCCAGATCAGCTAGGAATTGTGCTGTGCAGTTCCAATCCTGATGCTCCAGAACAGAAAACTGCTGACCAAGTGAAGTCTTCAGTGGCTTCTGGACACAGCTCTGAGTTTTGAACCTTTAGGAAATGCATTTACCACGGAGGAGGCGGCTACGGAGGAACCGAATCCTTTTCTTGCTTGCCATAGTGTTGGTCCTCTCTTTCTGCCAGCTCCAGTTCAGCCCCTCTGCCCTTCCAGCATCACACAGAGCCCCCCAACCCACAGACCCTGCCAAAGTGACCTCCAGGGAGCTCCCCAGCAACAAGACTGCTGTAAGAGGCAATGCCACAGCACCCAAAATAAGGCACTGCATCTACGTGGATCCTGAGCCAGCTGTGCCCGTCACCACGTCAGTGGGTACAACACCACAGCAAGAAAATGCCAGTGAAAGCTCCCCAGATGAAAAACCACCCTATGAGTCCAAAGGAGAATATCCCCAAGACCTGTTCAGTGTGGAAGAACGCAGGCAAGGGTGGGTTGTACTTCACATCTTTGGCATGATATATGTATTTGTGGCCTTGGCCATAGTGTGTGATGAGTATTTTGTCCCTGCTTTGGGAGTGATCACTGAGAAGTTGCAGATCTCTGAAGATGTGGCTGGAGCCACCTTCATGGCAGCAGGTGGATCAGCACCAGAACTCTTCACGTCCCTCATAGGTGTCTTCATCTCACACAGCAATGTCGGCATCGGTACCATTGTGGGCTCAGCAGTGTTTAATATCCTCTTTGTCATTGGCACCTGTGCCCTCTTCTCGAGGCAGATACTCCACCTGACATGGTGGCCCTTATTTAGAGACATCACATTCTACATTGTAGACTTACTGATGCTCATCCTGTTTTTCCTAGACAGTGTCATTGATTGGTGGGAAAGCCTCCTTTTACTGACTGCCTATGCCACATACGTGTTCACCATGAAACAGAACGTGTTCCTGGAGCAATGGGTGAAGCAGGAGCTGAAAAAGAAGCTAAATGCTGTGCAGGCAGCATCAGCAGAGCATATGCAGAAGGTTGGTGTCCTTAGAGTTCAGAGGGCAAGTTGGAAATAACGTTTAGTGTAAACCACAAATAAAAACTGCATCTCCTTCACAAAGCACATATTCAAACCTCAGAATACAGATACTGGTCAATAATTATGGTTTTGAAGTGGGGGAAATCCAAACTAGAGAGATTCTAAGAAACTGGAGAACATCATAAAAAGGGAGTTTTGCCTGTGCAATTACTAAATATCTCTTAGCTGCTTTCAAAGATGTGTAGGATTTTGCTTAGTTGGTTGTTCAAATGAAGTTTCAGAAAGAACACTTGCACAAGTATGTTTTTGGTCTGGGAATAAGATTGGACAATTCTGGTACACAGGGTAGAAAAGGCTTCTGTCCCAGCCTCTTGCAGCTGAGAGATGTTGGAGGAAATTCTCTTTTCCCTCTCTGAAGCCAGATGTGTTGCTGGGATGCTGGTGGTATCACTCCTTACCTGATCAGCAGCACAGAAATGCATCTGGCATCTTTAGCAACTATTGCCTGCTCTCCTGGGCAGCGTTTGGCAACAGACTGAAGTGCCCAAACCCAATTCCATGCCAGCAGATTTCAAACTGTCCCCTGGCACTGCATGCTCTGCTAGTCAGATGTGTCCCCAGCCCTCAGGCATGCTTTGCCTTCTGATCCTGGCTCTCCACATCATTTAAGGAAGGAAGCAGATAAGGAGAGTGAGGATAGCTGAAGTGGTGCAGAATTGAGAAACTCATTCTGTTTCCTACTCCTGGTTTGTTGTTCAGCCAGTGCTCACAGCCAGGAGTCCTGAAAGCTCCTGGGCTACATTCCAGTGGGAAACACGTGCAAGAAACTGCAGTGACACACACACATCACTGTGGACATCACCAAGCATCACAGACTGAATCCAGCCCTGCACTTGAAGTTTACAGAGAACTCTCACTAATGTTTAGTAGTGTGACAGAGAGCTGCTGAACATATCCCTTGGGAAAAATTAATCACAGATATTATGGAAAGTAATGCTAATCGCTGTAAAAAAATCTGCCTTTGAACCTTCACTCTGCTGGAAAATGAGTAAGGATACAGATGTTTGGGGGTGAAATCTGGATCTGTCTGTAGCTACAGGAATCAGTTGTGAGTCTGCCCCCAGGTGCCTGCATCCTCACTGGGAGGCTTTAAGTAGAATCCTGTTTTTCTCAGAAGCCAATGGGTTTAAGGAGGCTCATGGCTTCAGCTCTTTCAGTAGCATACATGGACATTTGTGTCAGCTGTGCCACTTGCCCTCAGGCAGCAGCCTGAAGGATCATTAGATCCTGAAGCAGCAGAGGTGACTGGTCATTTCTGTTCTTCATTGCTTGCAGACAAGCAGGGCAGTTGTAGATGATGGAACAATGAAGCCACCAGATGGGAGGAAGCTGAAGGTAGGTCTAAGCAACTTTACATGGATCTGAAGTCATGGTATTTTGAATCTCTCCCCATGTCAGGTCATAAATAAAAGTGTCAACTCCTGTGTCAAGAAACCTGGACCAAAGCCTGTATCATATCAGGCACAATAGCCACAGTTTGCTTAAGAGGACACCTGGCTGAGTCCTGTCCTTTAAGGCATTTTTATAAAATTTAAGAAACAGCTCAGGCTTCCCAGGTGGATTTAACTAGAAGAGTGCTGTTCATTCTCTGCTATAAAACAGTCACATAGAAATTCAGAGAGTGACTCTTCTTACCTGGTCTCGTGGCTAAATTTCTTCCTGGGCTGCCATAGCAGCAGCTGGCATAGCAAACACTGAACAGCTGATTCCGCTGCTGCTGTTGAATTGCTGCCCCATGGCCTGGAGAGGCCTTGTTTGATGTAGAGGACAAAGAAGCTGTGACTGAGTGGTTTTGTGCCTTCCCACAGCCTGGGCCAGCCCTGCAGCGGGGCAGCAGCTCGGCCTCCCTGCACAACTCCCAGATGCGCGGCACCATCGTCCAGCTCATGATCCACACCCTGGACCCCCTGGCAGAAGGTGAGTGGATGCTCCACACCAGAGGGCCTTGGGTTCACAGCTCTGAGTGGTTTCACTGGGAATACAGTCAGTATTTTGGGGTCAGCAACTCACCCTTGGGGTGCATCACAGATGGTGTTAGGTGTGGGGAGCTCTGTGACAGGGGGATGTGCCCCTTCTCATCGCGTGGCTGGCAAGGACAAACACCTCATGTGTTGGTCCTGCCATATCTACTTTTCCTGTGCCAAACTGGTTACTGCTGTGGTGGCAGCTGCTGCTGCTGGGGTCCCTGGAAGCGGTGACATCCCCCATCTCTGCTGTCTCTCTGACTGCAGTGGCAGTTAATGTGAGTTACAGACTTCCTCTGTCCCATAGCACGTCACATCTTCCTCTTCTTAGCTCAGACCTCATCCGAGCCCTGAAACAGCAGCACAAAAAGAGGTTAAAACCCTTGAAGAATTCTCTTTTTGACAGTGGTTAAAATCCCAGCTGAGATTCTAATCATGATGGTGAGGGCAATTCTGTGTAATTCAGGCTGACACCTCTAAAAGCCCACCAATCATTACTGCCATGGCAAAGTGTGCCCACAGCTCTGGCTCCCCAGGGCCAGGGAATGACCAGCTCAGGTCCAAGACCTCTTTTAAACTGCCCAGGGTGCAGAGAAGCCTCACCTCCAGAAAGACCAGGGTTTTTGTACACAGCCTTTTAATGTGTTGCTTTATATTAACTTTAATCCGGTCACACTGTGGAGGTTTATTTTCCAAGAAATAGTGAAGCACATTAAAAAAAAAAAAAAGTTTTTAAGATTTTCCTTCCTTGCTCAGCACATGCCCCACCCCTCCACTGCCCTACTTGTTCTAAAGAGATTATCTGCTGTCCATTCAAAGAGAGATTGAAGCTAAGCAGATCAACACCTCTCGTGTCCCTCACAGAGGTTACAAAGAGGACTCTCCAGATCAGAATCCCAGCTGCACAAACTGATCGAGGGAACAAAGGAGGCTGGAGGAGGACAGCAAGGCAGATCAGTCTCTGCTTTGACAGATTCCAGTGAAGGCACCTGATGTGTTATCAACAGTAGCCTAACAAAAGCCAGACTCATCAGGGTTTGTCCTTGCCTCCTGTGCCTCCAAAGGTTGTATCAACAGCACCAGGATAGACCCACAACCTTCCAAGAGGATGTGCCATTGCCTTGAGCATCAGAAAGTGCCAGAATTGAGGGCCTGCTGCCACTCAGAGACCTTCCAGCACCTTCTCATCCTTCCCACACCTCTAAATGTGTCTGTGCAGTATCTGCCCACCCGGGCCATCCCAAGTTTGGCTTTCTGGTCCAGGTTTCTGGTGTCCTGATGAAACTCTGGGACCCCTCAGCAGGAGAGCTGTGGGGGGCTGAGGTTGGCAGCCAAGGCCAAGGAGAGCCCCAGCCAGTTCAGCCCAGAATAGGCTGCTGGGAGCTTTCCACTGTCCTTGCTGAAGAGGCTGCTGTTCCCAGGCCTTGTGAATATGGAATAAACAGGACTGGGGCACCAGTTTGGATCTTCCCTCAAAGAGAACTTCCCTACTCATTACACAGAATCATTTCGGTTGAAAAAGACCTTTAAGATCATCAAGTCCGACTGTTCCCCCAGCACTGCCAAGGCCACGTGTCCCCAAGTGCTCCATCTACACATCCTTTAAACCCCTCCGGGGATGGTGACTCCCTGTGCCAGGGCTTGAGAACCCTTTGGGTGCAGGAATTTTTCCTGCTGTCCAGCTAACGCCTCTGCGGGCGGCCCGGCAGGATGCGAGTTCCTGTGTGTGCGGCAGCCGCTAGATGGGAGTGTGACCGTGTGTATCCGCTCTGAAACCGCAGGGACCGTGCGGGGATGGGCTGCCACAGCCTCTCCTGAAGGGTTTTATATCCCAGAGCCTTTACTTTAATAACGCCACTGAGTTAATGGCAAAGCCTCTGCCCCAGGTACGTGCCTGCTCCACTCGAGGCTGTGAGAAGAGACACCGCCTTAGAAAATATAACAATAAAATTACTGATATTACAACAGCTCAGCACTCAAAAATCAAGGAGCCAGTGTGTCAAATCCTGTGTGTTTTATAGGAGATACTCCTTAATCTGATAACTTCCTACCTGAAGACAAGAGAAAGAGAGTTTGGAGAAAAGGAATTTATGCATAAACTGGGAAACCTAAGTGCCTTGAGGAGCTTGGCCAAAGAGATGGAATGGCATCCCAAAAAAGGGTCTGGAAAAGGATTTGAACATGGCAAGGCATATGAGGACTTATGTTCTGATATGTTAATAGTTCCTAGTCCTGTGTTAACAACCCTGCAGCCCTGTGCTTCCCATGGATCACCAGCACTGTCCTTCCCTTTGCTGTGTGTGCAGCACTCTCTCTACCAGGCACATTTCTGTAATTAGGCTGCCACAAAAGATGGTCCCAAAGCAATTTATCTTTCCTCAAGGGCCCTTGTTCCTTCTTGCCAAGGCCTGTAGCATCAGCACTTACAGGCTGTGGAAATGAACACTCAACAGAAGGAAAAGGTTGCCAACAGTTGCTCAGCAGTTCCTCACTGAACCCGCTGCAATCAGGATTCTGTAGGGTTTCCTTCTTTTGGCTGCCCTCGGTTTTTGTTTGGGCAGCACAGAAGTGGTTTCAGGGCAGCAAGGTCCAAAACATAGAAAAGCTGCAGCACTGGGCCTCCAACCCCAAATTTCAGGGGCAGAGGTCTTGGAAATGCAGAAGTGTGAAACACAAAGCTGCAACACCACTTGTGTGAAACAAAATTCCTCTTTAGTGGGTTGAGTTCAGAATGTGGGGTTATTTCTTTTTGTATTAGGAAGGTATCATTACTTCAGTCCTTGTCTCAGAGAGACTACATGTTTACTTTAGAAGTTCTAATATTTACATGGCATCCTGAAGTATATTTTTGATAGAACTTCTTACCTTGAATGTGCCTTTTTTAAATTAGCAATTTCTAGCAAGTTTGTTCTTTTGTCCTTTTCCCCACTTCCTGTGAAAATGAGTAGAAGAAGAGCGTGAGATCTTTTCCAGATCATCCCATTAGACACCAAGGGGAACTGTTGGGGAAGTAAAGGGAGTGAGGATTTTGGAAATGCTCAGGAACCCTCTCATTTCTGAACCTCTAGCCTTACCACCAGACTCTTTAAACTCTAGTCACACAGGGAACAAAGCAGAAGCCTACATTTCTTTTTGAATGAAGCAAAAGGCTCCAGCAGAGAGGTTGTCAGAGCTGCCTGCCCTCACTATGCCCCAGTTAACAAGGTAATGATTTTGGAAATTAGACCAGAGCAGTGGGCACTGTTGCAGGCTGGAGAAGGCTGAAGGCAGCTGCAGCTTCTCCTTGCTTCATTAGCATTCCAGATCCAGAGGGGAAAAAGGAATCACAAGACTTTTTTTATACTTCCACTTTTATACAGCAGAATCTCCAAATCCTTCAGGTTCATGCCAAATTGTAAAGAAAAAAAATCTTCCCTGCTGATTGCGTTGTCAATCCTGTTAGACTGAATATTAGAGCCAAAGAGTGAATTAAATGTAAGAGCCAAATTCAAGATAGAAGCTCAGCTGCCACCTGAAGTCCATCCTGGATGCTGTCAATTCATAGGACAAGAATTCTCCTGGAGAGCATCTCAGGGCCACTGGACACAGACACGTCCTGTGTGAGGGGCTCTCAGCCCTGGGGACAGAGTTGCCAGCAGTGAATGCCCCGGGGGACTGAGAGGGACACTGCTCTGCACAGCTGATCCAGCACAGCCCCCACTGAGCCATGGACATCCTTCCTCGCCGTGCTGACCTGCAGATCTGGAGCCAGCTCTGCCTCCAATCTCAGTCCCTCCTGCAGGAATTGTGAGAGGAATGAACACCCTTTTAAAGGAGGCTGATCTCCTGAGAACTGGACAGTGGCCTGGGCCTAATCTGTTTATCCTGACAGAGATGCTCCGGGCTCCACCCGGCGCTCCCAGCCTGGGGCCTGCCTGAGGGCAGCGAGCCAGGAGCTTGAATTTCCATAATCTCAGGCTGAGCCTGTCCGCCCTGACCATGCTGACAGGAGCTTTTGCAGCAGCTTCAGGGAAAAGCCAAACAGAAGGATGCATTGCCCAGTGCTGAGAGGAGACTGGGAGCAAAAGGTCATCCCTGCATTGAGGGATGTGCTCGTGCACAAGCACAGGGGGAATGAAGCCAACATTTCACATCCCCTCCAGTGATCTTCAATATTGACAAGGAGCATGGAAGAGTCAGGCCCTTGAGTCCCAGCCAGTCTTTCAAAGAAGAAATGATCATTTAGATTAGAAATTCTCACCTGCAATGGTGGTGAGGCCCTGGAACACTGTGCCCAGAGAAGTTGTGACTGCCCCATGATCCCTGGAAGTGTCTAAGGCCAGGATGGATGGTGCTTGGAGCAGCCTGGGATAGTGGAAGGTGTCCGTGCCCATGGCAGAGGGGTAGGACTGGATGGCCTTTAAGGTCCCTTCCAACCCAAACCATTCTGGTACTCCATGATGGTTTCATCTCAGTCCAACCATTCCAGTGCTCAGTGGAAATCCCAGCTGGTGAAAGATGTTTCTGACATCTTTAGCAGGAGTAGGACTTGTCCCCTGAGGTCTTCCTCTCTGAGCTGGGCCCAGTTATTGGACATACAGCAGAATTTACTGATTTTCACAAGGTTCAGCTCAGAACAATAGTTCTGCCCACATGGCTGGACATGCTATTTCTATTATCTCAGTGTCACTGTGACTAATAAAATGGCAGGGCCCTGCCCTTGAGGCAATATGACAACTGCACCTTCTGGGCGCACAGCAGATTAAATCAGTGTGATAAAACTTTCAGAGAAAATTATTTTACAGCCCTGCATGCAAGCCAAACACAGCATTGGCCAATTCTTTTGGCTACTTCCCATGTGCAAACCCAGTGATCCTCAGTCACTAGGTGTGCAGCTCAACAGAGGACAAAGAGCAAAATGGGGCTTTTCTTTGAGCCCATTCTCGTTCACTTTCACTGAGAGTCAGCAGTGAGATATTTGAGTAAAAAACAACTCTAGAGACACAAAGTTCCACAGTTCACTGTAAACCAGTAAAAAAGCAGCTCAACTGAGTAAGGCAGAGCTTGGTTCACAGTGGAAGAAGCTCTCAGCAGTCCCAGAAATAGAGCACCAGACCTGTGCTGGTGAAAAACATCTCTCAGACAGCCTGAACCATGCTGAACCTGGATACCAGGAATTTAGAACAGCTCCAGCAGGAGACACTTGTGTATACTTAGAAAAATCAATCATTTTCTAGGGAACTGGAACATAAAAAGTGTTTATTTTCCATTCCCATCAGATCCCCAGGCTGTAAGCAGCACCCTAAAGCCTCTTCAACAGTCACATGGCAGGAGGAAGGTGTCCTTTTTAGTTTGCTCATAATCTAGCCTAGAAAAAGAATCAATAGTCCATTGTGAACAAGATGATATCGCACTGAAACTCCCCCTCTGTGCTTTCTGCATTTTCTTCCTATAAAGTACAGATATCCTTTGTATTACTGACCTGAAAAGGATGTCTCATTCCTCTTGATGCCTTGAGAGGCTAGCTAGAACAGAGGCTAGACAGGAATAAAGTAGGGATTTATTAAAAGGCCTCAAAGGATACACCTGGGCAGTACAAGAGCCTGGCTTGTGGCTGCACAAGATGGACAGCAGGTCACACATGTTCACACTTTTATAAGTTTTGGTCCATTTCCATATTGGGGTTAATTATCCAACTACAGCTCCAGGTTATGCAGTCCCATCCTCCCAGATTGCTCTCCTCAATTTGCTGTTTGTACTTTTTGGGCCTGAAGCTGCAATGGTGTCCTTGGTTCTGGAGCTAGAAAAGGATTGTTTTGTCTGACTGAACTGTGAGGAGAGCTTGCTAACACTCTGTATGAGGTTCAGAGTCACACACTAATGCAGTACAGAATCTGGAAAATATAAAAGCTAAAACTTTAAGCATTACTCTAGATTCTCTTTAAATAGTTCTATGTCAAATTGCTGGTGTAATTGCTGTAGCACTAAGCAGTTAAATATAATAGCTATGACCAACTAGCAGCAGCCAAAACCAGGGCTCTCAGCTAGAACAATCCCTGGGGCAGCACTGGCTGCAGCACCTGCAGGAGGAAGGGGACAAGAGCATGTGTGTGTTGAGGGAGGCAGGTCTAGGGTGGCTTTGCAGTGACAGCCCCTGATGATTGTGTCCTTCTCACCCACAGCAAAATTTAAAGACAGGGTTGACATCCTGAGCAACATGGCCAAGGCCAAGGCTGAGACCCTGGAAGGACAAGGCTCCCAGCCAGGTGAGTGCAGGAAGAGCCAGCACTGCTTGCCTTGTTTTGCACTCACCTTCCCAGCACGCAATGCCCAAGGGCAGGCAAGGAAACCCTGGGGTGTAACACAAATTTTGTGCTGTTTCTGGGCACAGATGGCTGGTGTAATGCAGCAGGAATCGATGGATGCACGCGGGCAGGAGCAGCCATCCCCAGAGGAGCTGTTAGTGAGGCAGGGCAGGGAGAGCTGCAAGGATGGACTGGAAATGGCCATGGAACAGTGCAGGAGGGAAATCAGGGCACTGCAGACAGCTGATGCTCTTTGGCAGACCCTGCAAATGAGGTGTTTGTTAAAAGAAAGAACCTTCTCATGCTTGCAGAAGGGCACAGAAGGTTCCTCCAGAGGGAATAATCTACACTGTGTCTGTATCAATTCCAAGGACCTGTGCACCCTTCCTTTAATAGAATCACAGAATCATAGAATGGTTTGGGTTGGAAGGAACCTTAGAGACCACCCCATTCCACCCCCTGCCATGGACAGGGACACCTTCCACCATCCCAGGATGCTCCAAGCCCTGTCCAACCTGGCCTTGGGATGCTTCCAGGGATGGAGCAGCCATAACTTCTCTGGGCAACCTGTGCTGGGGCCTGCCCACCCTCACAGGGAAGCATTTCTAATCTAACATTTAACCTGGACCTGCCCTCTGTCAGTCACTCCTGACACAAAGGTTGCCTTGGAGCCAGAGCTGACCTGTGCTACAACACAGATTTGTGCTGCCAGCAAAGCTGAAGATTTTAAACCCCAAGAAACTTTGGTGTGGAAGGTCCCAGCTCCACAGGACCCAGGCACCTGAGCACCTCCCAATGCTGGGCCTCACGCAGGTGAATGAGCCCAAACTTGAGAAAAACACTGTTTAAAACCCAAGTAAATTCCTGGTGTGTGCCACACTGCCTTCACTCCCTCATCCCTGCTCTGTGTTATCCATATTTCTGCTCTGTTCCCACAGAGGTTTCTGTGTTCCTCTTGGCTATGCAGGTTAGTGCAGGAACAGCAGGACATTGCAGTTATTTCCTTGTATGTGTCAGCACTTTCCTATTTGCTTTTGAATACCCACCAAACGATCAGGGATTAAAGTCTGGCAGCACATCCTGGTCATTTCTCAGAAGCCCTGAAGAGTATCAGGTCCCTGGAGAATGCTGTGCTCTATGGAGGGAGGGGGGAGCTGGGGGAGAAACCTGAGAAGCAAAGCTTTACATCCTTTCTGGGTTTTAATACAATCTTCAGAATCTAGAAAGAAACCAAGAAATGCCCACCAGCTGTAGATGAGGTAATTAGCATTTCCCCACCCCTTACAGCAGTTCTGCATGGAAGGTCAGAGAAGCACCAAGGTCTCATTCTACTCCACATGGGCCAAATTCTGCCCAGATTTACCAAACACAATCACAGCAGTCAGGGAGGACACACAACAAACCAAAGCAATCTGAGGGTATTTAACCTGAAATGCCACCACTGTGGTAGGGAGCTCACAGGGAAGGTGGTGCCCTGATATGGTAACCACCCATCCAGGATGACTGAAACCAGCATTCCTTCTTATTGCTTTTGCAGAAGAGGGAAAGAAAGCACCAAGCAGCGTCCAGGTAACTCCTGCCAGTGACTCTGAGCCCAGCAAAGACACACAGAAGGGAGATGTGCCACAGGATGGACAGGTATCAAAATCAGGAGCACAGGCACTAAGTGCCCACCCAGGCTGACCTTCACGTGTACTTTCCTTCTTCCCTCTCCAGAGCTGTTGGGACAGGACCCAACCCATGTCACTGGCATCTATAAATAGGCTCTGTGTGTGGCAATCTAAGATGCTGGCTGAAACACTTTGGCTTACAAACACAAATTGGGTCCAAATTACGACACAAAGCGACACTGGATAGTATTGTCCCCTCAAGTGACTCTTCTGAGGGTACTCCAGGGTAAGGGGAGATAAGATCACCTGCCTGTCCTGTGCTCACAAGCAGACTGTTCTGTTTTGCTTCCCAAATCCCTTTTGGGTGATGTTATTTGGCAGTTCCAATGAAAAAAAAATATTTTTCAAGGACATGAAATATTTGTTTCTAAAGGGTGGTTTTTAGTTAATGGATGCCCATTAGTTAACAATACACAGGTGCAGGGTTGGGGTGTGCCTGGCTCCTGTCCCACAAGAGCTGTGGCTGCCCTCAGCAGGTTACAAATGTGAGCTCTGCTCAGGTGAGGCCACAGCGAGTAACTGCAGCTCCTTGTTACTGTGAAAATATATTGGCTTTTTTATTTTTTATTCTGAGGTACAGCCCCTGTCAAGCAGTGACACCTCAGATGACAGCAGCTCTGAGAGCCAGGAGGACAGTGATGGTGACAGCACAGAGGATGATGAAAACGATGAGCCCTTATCTCTGGAATGGCCAGAATCAAGGACAAAACAAGCAATTTACCTTTTCCTCTTTCCCATTGTCTTTCCTCTCTGGAGCACTCTGCCTGATGTCAGAAACTCGGTAAGAATCCACCTTCCTTCTGCTCCTGGAGTCATTAACTGAGCTACAGATTTCCTCTGGGCCTGAGTCCCTGGGTCCATTTTTCCATGTCTGGAGTCTTTTCATAGTTGAAGGGCTGTTACTGCTGCAGGGAGTGGGACAGGAGCCCCAGCTGCAGTGTAATGTCATTCCAGAGACTTAATTTAATAAACCACAAATTCTAGCAACTACAGGTCACCCAATCAAGCTGAAAAACAGCAAACAGAGACCAGGGTCCAAGTTAAAGCAATCAATTGCAGTGAAGTGTTTCAGGTGAATAGTTTTCAGTGGGGATTATTAACTTCCCTGAAACTTCTCTTTTTTCTTTTCAAACTTGATTTCAACAGGAATCAAAAAAATTCTTTGTCATCACATTTTTTGGATCCATCCTCTGGATTGCTGCGTTCTCTTATCTCATGGTGTGGTGGGCTCACCAGGTGAGAGGTTTTGTTCTTTCTGCAAACCTCCATTTCAGAACAAGTAGATGGAGAGAGGGGACAGTGTTACTGTGGCATTTTATCTGATGAATTACAGCTGCAGTCATCCATCACAACAGTAGAAACTTTGTTTTGTTAGAACTCAAAAGGGAATTTTTGATGTCCTTTTTTTTTGATTTGACAAAGATTCATTCATTTCTGAAAGCTTCCAAGGGAGTTTGTGCATCAGTGAAAGGAAAAGCACCATCAAGATTTATCTCAAATCTGACTTTTCATTAATTAATGTTTCTGTGCAGAACATAATTATCCATTACCTAATTAAAATTCTAGGAAAATACAGGTTCTGATTCTGGAAGCTGCTAAATGTTCTTCACTCCCCCATCTAATGTTCACCTGGTATTCTGGGAAATAATACTTCCATCTGGTAGGAACAGCCCCCCAGTCTGTATTGAGTGATATATTGCACATGCACAGTAGATCTGATCATGCCATAAATCCAAGGACTGTCATCTCCAAAGGCCCTTAGATCTTGCACAGCTGATGTTAAATTTGCAAAGGTAGACAACATCCAGAAGGGGAGGACTGAGGACAGGAAAATTGTGCTGTAGCTGACTTGACCTTGGCTCAGTGCTGGCATCACTATGGTCAGATTTCCTACACTACCGAGCAAATCCAGAATCAACAGACACAGTAAAATGGAACTTTTTAATCCTATAAAGCAGGGAAATGCTGCCACATTTATGGGACTTGGAATATTTTAACTCAAATATGGCACAAACCCTAACACTGCACAGAGCAATTACACTCCACGTTCCACTGCTAACAGCCCTACCCAACGTTGTTTTGATTAGGTTGGTGAAACAATTGGGATATCAGAGGAAATTATGGGGTTAACCATACTGGCAGCAGGCACATCCATCCCTGACCTCATCACCAGTGTCATCGTGGCCCGGAAGGGCTTGGGGGACATGGCTGTGTCCAGCTCTGTGGGCAGCAACATCTTCGACATCACTGTTGGGTGAGTACCAGGGCCATGCTAAGAGCTGCATTTCTTCTGAAACACAAAGTTACCTGGTTTGAAACCAAACCTGCCACAGTTAATTTCATTTTAGCTGCAGTTAAGTGAAGGGCAGCTGAGCAACCAGTTCCTTTTGAAGAAACCCAACCCAAATCCAAACCCAGCCAGGAAAGACAAACTGTTATAACTCAGCCCACTATCTTCACCCAATTCACAAAGTTGCCAATCAACAGAATATTACCAAATTTTCAAGACAAAAATGCAAGACATCTTTGGCTAATGTCCAAGCTGCACAGGCAGGAGCCTTATCTGGTCACTCAGAGACATTCAGCTCCTGGGGAAGGTCAGTATCAGTGCTTGGATCTCCCATCCTAAACCATCAGGACATTTCTTTATTATAGCTCACCAAGGCACTTAATTTTTAAGTATTATTTTCAAACCATGTTACTCTTGGATTGCATTATGATAGTGCAAGCATTATCCAAATGCAGTTTTGACAGGAAAAACATCCAGTTTAGATTTATGCTGAGCTATATTGAATACAATAATGCATTTTTTTCCCCTGTAACACTTTGGAAAGATTACTTAGTTATGATGCAGATAATGAACTGCCTTAAAACATTTATTTAAATTACTTTTCCCTTCCTTGCAGCCTGCCAGTTCCCTGGTTCCTTTTTTCTATCTTCAATGGCCTCAGCCCCGTGGCAGTCAGCAGCAATGGTTTGTTTTGTGCAATTGTTCTCCTTTTCCTCATGCTCCTGTTTGTGATTCTCTCTATTGCTGTCTGTAAATGGAAAATGAACAAATTACTGGGGCTCACTATGTTTGCTCTTTACTTTGTGTTTCTGATCATCAGTGTGATGTTAGAGGACAAGATAATATCCTGCCCAGTATCTGTATGACATGTGAACACTTCAAAATGTCTGGGAGGATCCAGCAACATCAAAAGGGGGTTGAGGTAGCAGTTCTACTGAAAAAAAGCAACAGAATTGTAACAAACTTACTGAAAATAAGATACCTTTAACATGCTAAAAAATAAATCAATTTTAACTGGTGTGTCAGCCTCTACTGTTTTTCTTTAGGATCAGAACAGTATTAAATGACCAATATTAAATAACACGCACTTAAGGCACTTGTGGAAAGGCAGATACAATTTAGGTGCATCAAATTTTCACTATGGCTGGTCCTCTCAAGTTAAAGGAGCTGATTTTCACCACATAACATTTACTTATTATAGGAAATTTTCAGGAACATGCTCTAAATTAGTCAGTGAACTGCTCAAACTCCCCGAAATCAATGAATTTTAGTTCAGTGGGAAGAGAATCAGACTGCTGAGGCTGGGCCTTTATGGAACTGCTCTGCCTAAAATCCCTGTGTGGACACACAGGCTGCAGCCCAGCAGAGAACTCCCTAAGTGCACTGAGCTCCTTTCAGACCTGTACCTGATCTTGCAATGCAGTGCCTGCAATTCCTGTACAAGTGTGATGTCACCTGGGTTTACCTGCAAAAAGACTAAAAGGCACACTACCCCTAATCAAAACTAAAGCCAGAAATCAAATAGAACAAGGAGTTGAATGCTGGGGGTTTGTTTTCATCCTGACACTAGTTTCTGACAGTTACAGATTATTTATCCAGGAATAATTCCTCTTGTTAACACTGACTTCTACAGACAAGATGAAAAAATGCCACTGACATCACCAAACCTGAGAGGTTTATGGTTAACACCTCATGGTTAACTCTTAACACAATAGGGTCAGGAGTTGCAGACATTTCTGTCACTCTAATCAATCTAATAAAATGTTAATGAACATAACCAGAAAGATTTTAAGCTTTTTATTGACTCACTGTAAAACTTCTTTTTTTTGGATGAGACAGAAAAAAACCTTAACATTGTGAACATTGACTTTGCATATTTTAAAGGAACTACAAACCAAAGCAAACATCCAACATACTGGTTTTTGGTAAATAAAATTTAAACATTACATATTTACAAATCTACAACCATTCATTTAAAAAGTGCTGCTTGCAGACTAACAAAGTACCATTTTTAAATCCCAGTGAGATAATATCCAGAAATACCCCTCTCTATTATTACTATTTGCATCTCCCATTTGTTACACTAAGATTTTACATGCAGGAATTTTCTCTTTCTTGGGATACAAATCATTTAGTTTGCCTGTGGAAGTCAAATTCATCAGGCTGTAACTGTACCAACAGCAAGCCTTCTCAAATGGGACACAGCAGTGTCAGAGAAACAGCACAATTTCTATTCACATTTCAGTATTTAATCTCCAATAATTATTCCAGTGGAACCATAAGTAAAGCAAAATATATATTGCACTGCAAATGTAAAACCCTGGTTTCAGGTTTTGGACATAAGCCTTATTTAGTACACAAAAGGAGAAAATTCATTTCATACAAAATTTTAAATTGAAAATATGTCTCAAATATTTAATTTATTCATCTTTGTGGTATTGGAAAATATAATCAAATTGCTTTTCTAATAAAGGAAAGTGAGATTTGAAAACTGTTTCAACACTGAATTGTATGATGCTCTAAAAATTATCGACCTCAGGATATGTTTGAACATTGTTATGTGAATAAGGAAAATTTCCCACTTACAGTATGTTGTTATTCTGACTCTATTTTTATATATTTCTACAGTGGACTGACTTGCAACAGACTTTGTAAAACAATTCGTTAAGTATAATGATTTCACTTGATGAGCTACTACATGATAGCATAATTTAAAAGCACACCCAAATTAACACTGGCAGTGCTTCAGGGGAGCCACGCCGGGGCTGCAGAACACAGGGGCTGCGCGGACAGCCCTGCTCCCAGGGCAGCACTCCCTCCCTGACAGTGCTGGGGGATGTTGCAAAGAAGTAAAACTGGTTGGGTTTGGAAGTCTGAAGGCAGTTGGAAGTCCTTACAAGGAGGCTGGGAGTAGGATGGAGGAAGGGCCACGTGTGACAGGGTTGCCCCCCCACCTGCGCCGTGTCCTGGGCATGGGGACCGGGCTCGGCTCTTCGGCCACCCCGCAATGGGAGTGGGAAGCTGGGTCATAGCTCAGCCCCTCTAACCCCACGGCAGCTCTGGAAAAAGCACTTGCTCTCTCTCCTTTCATGGCTTGAAGGTCCTATAGAACAGTGGCTGCCCCAGTGGCAAATGGGAAACAGAACTGCAGGGAGCTGGGAACACGACCTTCCCCACGGCACACCCAGCTATGAGCTTAAGTACAGCAACTACTGGAGGCAAGATTTCCATGGTAATGCAGCATTCCTACTGTACAGAGCAGCCATGCACACGAAGGGGTACTTACAGGGAATGTGTTCAAAAATAGCCTGTTTGTTTCACAATAGTTCAGAGGAATGAAGAGGGTATCTCTACCTTGTACCTGGGTGAAAAAAGGAGCTTCATTTCATGCACAAGGATACTGTACAAGTGTGGCAGTACAAAAGAGCATCACACATTGTTAAAATAAATTAAACGTGAAAGATGGTGTAAGTGTAGCATTGCTAGCTCCACCTCAGGTGGGGGGATACGTTCAAAAAGGTCAGCTACATAATTAGCAGCACGTTAGAGAAGAGGCATTACCCGATGGAAGCTGTCTCCAAGACTACGTCCTGCAATTATCATCAGCACATACCTGTAGCTCTACAGGTTTTAAACCCTTTCTTCTTAGGGCAGCTTCTTCTTACAACTTTACAGAGGTCTGGGAGGAGGTTGCAGAGCTTCATAGCAGCATTATTTTTCATTTAAGCCTCTAAGGCTCGCTCTATTTCACTTAATAAAGTAAATGTGAGCTTTAAAGTTTATCACCTTTCTGCCTAAGTATTGCTGTTTATTACAGTTGCAAACTAAAGATGTTTTTAAAAACACCTACTGGTAGGCAGACTGCAATATAAGATCTAATGTAACAGTTGAATATTTGGAAGTATTATAACACCAACAACTAAAATTAGGAGTGGAAAATCATTAAGATTACTTAAAATAAAGCTATTTGTTAAAGCATGATTTAAATTTGTTTAGGGCGTTTTATACAGTTCAATGTCTGTTTTCCCACCTCCATGCAAGACTTCTGATATTTTCCCTGCAGTCTGCCTTCTGGTGAGGAGTTACTATGTGACTGAGAGCACAGAACATTTTTTTAAATGTCTAGAACAAGAAAACATGAGGCAAAAGCCATGACTCCACACAAGGACTGATATAGTAGTTTTCTCCAGAGAAAACAAAAAGTTGTTTTGCCTGTGAAATAAGAGACAGAACATTCCAAGTATGTTTAAGTAAGCACAATATGCCCCAGTAAGTTACATTCCCTATAATTCCCTGTAGCAAGTTTGCTGGATGTACTTGAGTTAGCAGCTTTGGATGGGCATTGTGTGGTGCTGTACTGAGTGCTTCAAACACAACCTCTGAGACTCGGAGCGCTGCGTGCTCATGGAGAACTCACTGCAGGCTGGCATTTGCTCCGGGTCACATCTGGAATGAGGCCACACCAACAAATGCCAACAGCTGACAAGGGCTGATTCCATAACAAAATCCATAGGACTCTTCAATGTGGTTTCCCTTTCCTAGGGAGTGGGGAGGGAAGGGAACACGAGAGGAAGAGGAGACTTCTACAGAAGTGTTTCACAGAGACATCAGTGTATTTGTTAAGAGTTTTTCAAAATTTACCATACCTTCCTTCTAATTGCTGTGGTAACACATTTTCCAAGTGTTCATGAGAGAAATCCTGGATCTCCAGTACTGTCTAGGTGAAGGTTAACATTTTCTATTCTGCTTTAAAAACAAATCACTCTTCAAAAAGTAACTGGACAAGTTACTATAAATAGCAGTGTACTGCAAAAAAAATAAGCACTGTATTGCTTCTGCAGCAAGTCCATTTAAAATTCACTCCAGTAATTTAAAAAAATTAAAAAAATATCAACTTACTATAAACAATTTAAAATATGTATAATACAACTTTGTATGCTCTTCATAACATCATGAATATTCTATGTAAACAATAGATTCTGAAGAACTTCCTTCGCTCACATTAGTTTCAGTGCATTGTTTCTGTCCACCTGTTACTTAATTTTTTATTTTATTTTTAAAGGGAGCCGTAATATGTTGTCCCAAGTCAGAGAACTGATTTTGTTTAGAACCTGCCTCTCCACACACTGATTTGCAGAAAGAACAAGGGACAGGGAAATATTGTTTGGCCCATTTTGCTCTCTGTCCATCTCCACAACCGCAGCCAGGCCGAATTTCCCGAGGCCTCCTGCCACAGTCCTTCGCACGCACATTCCTGAACACTGAAGACTGAGATGTTCCTTGTGACTGAAGTGGTTATTTTACACAGGGATACGTCAGAGATATCACCTCTTTAGCCAGGTACATTTAAAGATATGGTTCTCCAAAAATCTTTCTGCATTCCATCACTCCAGTGCTGGGTGGTCTGTCGCAGTTATGAGTGTTCTTCACTTGATTAGCGGTGAGACGGTCATAGGCCATTTTGTACTCTCTGTCAAAAGCATCTGCAGCAAGGGAAAAACAACTTTAGACAGCAAGCTCAAAAACACCACCCAAATGCCACAGCAGCTGCATTTATCAGCACAAAATAGCTGTACAGTCCTTTTTATTTGGCACTTACCAGAGAGTGGCACACATCTAATCTACAGATTATTTTTTTCTGGAAGCTGAACAACTAAGTTTGCATAAATTCATCATCTCATTCGAATAGTTGGCAGAACTCACCAATATCAATGTTATCTCTTCCCAGGGCAACAAGTGAAAGAAACAGTATTTCTCTGTAAAGGCTCCTGAAATGGTAAAAACCCCAATTAATATACTGCACTGATACAGCACAAAACAGTCTCTATTAAAAACAGATTGAAGCATTTAAAGACAACTTATTAAAAAGCAGGCATTTTAAACATAACTCCTGATTGTGCCTCCAAAATACTGTCATTTCTGAGCTCTGGAGAATGCCCTGGATTCCTCACACATGGACATCACCCATGGTAGGTCCTCTGGAAGTTACACCAAGTGCATGCAGAGAGAAACACACACTTAAACACTCAACCAAATTCCACAAAATTTAACCTGGCAAGGAATTTGCTTTTCTGCATTTTCACATTAGCTTGAAAAAGCAGGCAGACAAGCAAATAAACACCTTGTCAATGCTCCAGCTGTTGACAAGCCTGTTGTATATCCTAGTATGAATCAGTAAATCCAAGCAAGAAATGAAAATTCACAGGAACAATGTTCACCAATTCCACTGCTAATGGAAAAATACCCCTGCCTAAATATGAGACATAACCTCTCTTAGCTCCTTCTCT